AGAGAGAGAGAGAGAGAGAGAGAGAGAGAGAGAGAGAGAGAGGGATGGGAAAGAGAGAGACAGAGAGAAAGAGAAAAAGTGGAACGGCGGCGGCTCGCGCGATGCCGAGCCTAATACGAGAAGGGTAGAAACGCGATTTCCCTAATGCCCGCCAGCCCGTGGAGCCGAATGTTATTATGCGCGGTGAAGACTTTATAATGGGACGCAGAAACTCCTTAAAACTCGCGCGCGCGGATACGCGCCCCCGAAAACGCGCCGCTCACCAGCCAGCCGTAACTGAAAACTTATGCCGCCGCAATTGCGTTACGAGGTCGTTTCCGGCTCCATGGGTTGTTTCATTTTTAGGATTGCGCCGAGTGGCACGGCGATCGGCTGCGTTATACCGCCGTTGAAACTGTCCCGCTGGAAAAACTGCCGCGTTCGCCGTAATAAATCGTAGCTCGGCCGTAATTATCTGCTCGGTCAAAGCTTACTGTAGCGACGCGATCGTTAACGAAGTCACTTTGTTCGATGGATCGCGATGATTTGGCGTTTAAAAAGTGAGAGAGAGAGAGAGAGAGAGAGAGAGAGTGTGTGTGTGTACGCGTGTGTGTGTAATTACACTCACATTCGTTGCATAATATTCTTGATTTTTTCCCCGATTAGTCCTCCGCGTATAACGTTAGGTCTGTGAGATCCGAACGAATATTTGATCGCTCACCAACTTTCGTAATAAGTCTGGGAAAATTTTAAATTAACAAATCTGTTAAATAGCAAATTTGTTTGCAAATTTAGATTTCATTGCGCTACTATCTTATCAGCTAAAAATTATTTTATAATTTCTAGAAAAAAATGTCCAAAAATATTGATTTTTGGCAAAGTTGCCCGTGTCTGACAGACCCAGATTATGTCTAAAAAAAATATGATTGTACGCTTAAACCGCGATTAACTTTAATTAAGTTTTTACAAGTGCGACCGAGGAGTCGTTTCAATTTATATTCCGCGTTATTTATCGGCGATGATATTATCAAAAATAATGGCCGCCTGTAATGCGTTCGGACCGGAAGGGGTTAACAATTTCGGCTCACTTCCGGTGCGTGCTCGGGCGAATTAATCCCACGTCGCGCGAGTGGTCGCGACTCGTCATCTCGACCCTCCAACTACCACCACCACTACCACTACCACCATCAGCGTCCACGTCCAGAGTCGCATTAATCACGTCGAAGGCAGGCAAGGGTGGCGGGGGCGAGAGTGGCGCGCGAGACCTAGGAACGAAAGGGAGAACGGAACCCCTTAAAATAATCTGGCCCGAAATGAAATCAGCCAAGGCAATTTCCAACCCCCCCGTCGTATCCGACGGCGATGTTAACAGCGGTGGCGGTTTTATCCTCCCGGCCGACGGGCCCACAGCCATCCCTCTCCCCGGCCACCCCCGATTCCGTCGCAGTGCAACCGACAAATGACGACGCGGCAACCCCCTCGCGGCGGCTCACGGAATTAAAGATCACCAGATAAGGGTGTCATCCTTCGCTATGCATTATGTGTTCGGCAAAAAGCTCGCCCCCGGGCCATCCTGCCGTTCCACTGCCTTCATCCCTCTGTCCCCTCTTTCTATCCCTGTCTCTCTTTTTACTGCCTGCCTTCTTCTGGCGCGCGCTTATTTCGGGGGATGACGAGAAGGAGAGAGTAGAGTGGAAGAAGAAAGAGGGAGAAAGAGAGCGAAGGGAGAGGGTGGAAGGTTCCAATTAATCTACTTCGTCCATTTTTTGCCCGTTCAAGGCATTTCCGCTGGCGTTCCTCTCGTATCGTATCGACATTCTCGTACTAGAAACGCCCGTCTTCTCCAAGCACGATGTAGATATAATGAAGAGAAACGCCGAGTGTGTCTCGCGAGTTTGTGTAGAGGTTTTTTCTTAGAGACATTTTCGCGACACGTTACACGAGGGTGCGTCGCTTATGATCCGCACATCCTCCTCCAAGTCCAGGCGAACGAGATCCTGGCTGCGCGACCGGTAGTCATATTTCAAGTTTTATCGCTTGAAAACATTAAGGGGACCTCACGAGTCGAGTCGAGTTGAGCTAACTTGCGACGCGAATTCGTCGGATCGAAGGTGCATGCTGTCGTGCGGTTACGCGAAGTCAAGTGTTTCGTGCAGCAATCGCCGAGTGCTCGAAGATATCAAGGCTATCCCAAGTAAGTATACATTCAAAATTAAGATACATTATTTAAGTCAAAAAGTAAACGAATTCTCAAGAATCGAGAAAGGAGGAAAGAGTAAGATACCTCCGCGATGTTCGCGAAATTGCCGTCGGTTAAATTTGTGCGAGGAGCGCGCGATTTGTCGTAACCGTCACGTCAGATCGCTACCGATCTCACTCGAGGTCGAGGCTCCGCGAGCGCGAAGGGAACGAGGTGAGGATCGTTCAATGTCGCCGGCGAAAATCGAAGGCGCGCACCCCGACCGGGAACCGCGTCCCGAAACATCCTGAAACAATCACACGGTCTCCAGCTCCGCCGGTGTGTCCCGAGTATACACACGGAGCCTTGCACAGCCTTCGGCGGGAGCGAGACGCCGTAGGGCCGCGCGTTATGTATAGGGTGTACCGAAGGAAATAACCGTCATCTGTATTCGCGATAACATCGTAATTGAATGCGGTTGACGGGGATTTGCAGTGTACGACGGCCGACCACCAGCGGCCCCACAAGCGATTCCCTGCCACGTCGCGCTCGCTCTCTCGCGCAATTCTTCCTCCGTCGCACCCTCTTCTCACCCCCCACCCCCGTCGAGTCAGCGCTCTCTTTTCCTCCCGAAGCCTCTGCCCCTTTCGGCTTACTTTTCCTCCTTTCATTTCTCCCTGACATTCTTTCATTTTCCCACCTCGTCCCTTCCACCACGGGAGGAAATTTCGGGGACATTGCGGGCACACGCGCGAAATTACAGTCCGGTCTCCGACTCGGAGAAATCGCACTCTAACTCGCTAGGTAAAATGGCGAGTGTTGGGGAAAACGAACTTGTCTCGTGTAGACGATGATTCCACTTTTCGACGTAAATCTTCGCTCTCTCTCTCTCTCTCTTTCTCTCTCCCCCTCGATATTCCTCATTTCGCAGCCAATCTTCTATCGCGATCTCCTCTTCCGTTCTCCTGTTGTTTGCTTTTTCTACCCCGCTTTCTTGGCCGCCTCCCTCGTTCGCGCTCCACTATTGCCTCCCCTTCCTACCTCACCCACTTCGCCAGGCTTCCTTCGCTCACTTTTTATCTCCCGCGGCTGGAGCATTAATCATATCAAGGCGCAGGAAATCTACTTCCCCGATATTTAGGGTGTGTCGTGGTATTGTCACACGCGTGTGCACACGCGTGCGTGGACACGCGGCCGCGTGCGGAGCTTTGCGCGGGGTGGCGAGTCGCGATACAAAGATAGTATACAGAGAGGAGAAACGTAGCGAGGCTTATGAGGGAATTTTCGGCGAGGAGATTCCGCGGGGAAGGATGAATATTCCTGGTCACAGAGTTTTTCGAGACGCATGCCTTTGACCTTTCGTGAGGAGACCGGGCGACACGAGACGAGTGTATGTGTGTGTGTCTCGCACGAGATGGATTCGGGTCGATACGTCCGCGCTATTCTAATTGTGTCGCGACACTCTTAAATCTATTTACGTCGGCGCTCTCTCTCTCACACACACACACATACACACACGGATCGTCGTGAAACCACCGACGCGCATTGTAAACCTTCGCAGAAGAATGGCACAGTATTTTACCATCTTACACAAGAGTTTCGTCGATTCGACTCTTTTCCCGACAGATATCGGGACATCTGTAGTTTTCGAGTAATTGACGTTTGGAAATACGGGGTCTCCGAGGGAGAATAAATTTCAGGAAAGAAGTAGGCGACAACGTTATTCACCGCCAGATTGGCCGTGGTGATGGCGCCGTGGTGGCCGAAAGGGTTAAAAGGGTGGTTTTTGAGGGGAGCATACACTGTATACGAATCAAATATACATTTCTGCATGCATTCTTCGATCATTCTCGCCGCAGAGGCAGTGACACCGACTCTCGATCAGGTGAATTCCAATGCGAGACCAGAAAAAGAACGAATCGCGCGCATCACGCGCTAATCAACGGAGAAGAGCTCGTTTTGCGAGCCGGGATAGCGATCCTTGCATGCGGAATGCGCTGATGGGAAATACTTGTTACGTCGTGGCTACTGTCACGGCCGCTGATTGGCGCATGACCGTTGGATTTCGCGCTTTATTAATGGCCGTCTGTCGTCGCCCTTCTCGCTCTCCCTTATCCCGCGTGGTCCTCGATCTAGGTTTCACCTCGCGTCCACCATCCCCCTCGGTATATCGGCTGTCCTCCGTTTCCGCGTCGCCACGTCCGGCGCCTGCGCCGCGCCCAAATTATTTACGGAATCTCAATTTTCGCGCCCTGATTTCGCTCACCTCGAACCCGTGACGTAGATCGAGCGAGATATTATTTCAGGAGTATCGCGAAGATCGATCGCACTGGCACTTGGCGTTCATAAACAATTTAACGCACGCTTTCCGCTCTTTTCGGAATGAAGAAAGTAACGTGAGAGGTTACTTCGTTGCCGGATTACCATTCGTCTATCATTCGTCGAGAATGTGATTTCAC